CCCATTGCCAATCTGCTCTCGACCATGCCACCTATCATCAGATTCAACCCGGAGGTCCTAGCGAACTCAATAATTTCAAGAGCACCGAGAACTCCAACTTTAGCGAGTTTAATGTTAATTACATCAGCCAGGTTTTCATCCGCTATTTTCCTAACATCATCCAAACTCCGACAGCTTTCATCAGCAGCAACAGACACCCCAAATTTCTCTTTCGCAAAGTGGCTCACTTCGCCAAGACCTTCCCAGTTGTCCCGATGAACTGGCTGTTCAAAGAGGACAGGCGTCACCCCCATTTCTGAAATACAAACAAATTCAATCAATTATTTCCCCTTTCCACCAAAAGATATGGGACCGATCAGTCTTGTGGGACCGCATAGTTCGAGAGGAGATACCGTGTAGCTTTTCGAGAACTTGGATAGCTTCGGAGGAGGAGTAACCTTCATTAGCATCCAAGATAAACGAGCAGTCAGGATGAGCTACACGTATTGACCGAAGAACTTCTATATCTGCATTCAAATTCTTGCCTACCTTAAGCTTTAGGGTCTTGAATCCCTTTTTACGATAATTTGAAGCTAGTTCAGATGCTTCAGCGGGGGATACTATTGGAATCTACAAACAAGACAAACAAGTGATGTTAACCTTAAAAAGGAAGTCTTTTCCATTATGGTCTTTTAAAGGGGATTGGGTTCCGTATTTCCTATAGTGATGTTTAGGCAATATTAATGCCTCGACTTCAAAGATCTGACAGAAGGCTAGATACTCAAAAGGTTTGGAAAGAAGGCGACTAAACTGTTATATCGGTGGTTATAGAGTCCGAAGCTCCACCAAACAGTCTCCAGAGAGGTATTCCGATGCTGTTTGCAACTGCATCAATCAGCGCCATCTCGACTCCTGCTCTGACCTTCAATTGCAGATACAACTAAAATTAGCACCGTATGACACTACGAATCCAGCCAAGACAGAAACTTTATTTTGGGAAAGTGAATATTCAGACTCATTATCACACTCAAGTCTACAGTTTTAAAAGATAACCATAATGCAATCTAGACAGAACTATACGTGGTGGTTTAATCATCATGCATTCATAGTAAACAAAAATGAAAATGGAAGTTCACGGATGGGAAAAGAATGGTATAGTTGAAATGCCACAAATTAAATCTTGAATTAATCAAGACATTTTACTACACAGCTGCAGCACTTTAAGAAGGAAGTAAAGTAATTGCAATGAACAAGCAGGCATGGAAAATGAAGCAGCAACTATACAATGTGTATCCAAAACCACAAAAATCAATTAAGCATCAGAATATAAGTCAAATTTAAGGTAAGCGACTCAGCAACATAAACGAAGACTTGGCAAGGGCAACTCAGCCAAGTTGGTCTACCTGTTGGCTTAGTAACCACAAGGTTCCAAGTTCGACCCCCAGTGGGAGCGGCCTATTGGCATTCTTTGAGCCGGTCAATTATGGACAACCTAAGCTGGTTTACCTCCTTGTGGTCCTTTGCTGGCTAGGGTCACAAGACAAAATTTACCCAGTGCACCCCTCGAGTAGTGGGTGCGGGTTTCCCTCCTCATCCAAAAACACAAAAAGAAGACTTGGCAAATTCACACACATAACATAAAATTGATTAGGTTACTACCTCCAACAAGAAAGGAAAAACCAACTAGCTAAATGAGAAAATTCAATCAATTAAGTTAGTCACACAAAGCAAGTTGGTCGAACAATTGTCTACGTAACTAAAAGGTTCCAAATTCAACTCCCCTAAGAGTTTTTGGCATTTTTGGTTTGAGCTAATCAGCTATGGGCAACCTAAGCGACTTTACCTCCTTGTTCTCCTTTGCCAGCTGAGGACACAAAGTGAACTTCACCAATAAATCAATGTAAGACACAAACAACTTTACACAGCAGACAAAAAGTTTTGGAAAGGAAACCTTTGAACAAATTAAAGCAGAGGAATTTAATGGCATAAGTAACTCACAGAAGCAAAATGGTGACCAGAAAGGATGCCACCAATCTCCCTCAACACAACCCCCATAGTATTCCCAGAGCTCTTCCTCAACAGTTGACAAGCTTCAGCTGCCTTGGCCATGGCGGTGGGCTGATCTTCAGCGGTGACAAAGGGAAGGATCGGAGCCTCACCCCACCCAACACACCCATTACTCAGCTCAATCCTAATAGCCACATTCCCCACCTTATCAAGCCTGGAAGAGGCAATAGTAAAGGGCGCAATCAGGGGCACATTCAGCGGCCTCCCCTCAGCTTTCTGAACTTCCACCGTGAAAGTTTCCATCAAATTCTTGAACCCAAAGCTCGATGGCATCGCCTCCGCCGGCACAGCCGCCGCCGCCGCCATACAGGCAGTGGCGGTGGGGTTCTTGGAATAAAGTTTGAATCTTGGGGGTTTGAAGGAGTGGGCGTAGAGGGGAGAGCAGAGAGGCGAGTGTAAAGAAATCCCAATAAGAGACATTGGGTTTGGAGGATCGGATGTTAATGGGATTTGGGTGATCTGGGAGATGGTGATTGGGGTTTGGATTTGGGAATTGGGAACAGTCGGCCATTGTTGGATGTTGATTGCATCTTTGTAATTTGTCAAAGCTGACTGGATGTAGCAACAAGGTTATTTATTTATTATTTCTCATTGCCATATTCAAATGTCCATAGCCATTTGAGAAGAATCTTGAACTTGTTTTGCTATTATGCGGATGATCAGGATCACCACCAAACTCAATTTTGTCGGATTTTACATGACAGCATTTTGTAAGACTTAAAAACTCTCTGAAATACTTGGATCATATATTGATATCAATAAATTTATTTACAATTTATTCACTATTTTTTCTATATTTATACAATATTCTTTTACAAATAATATTACTTTTACATCACATTATTATAATATAATAATAAAATAAAAAATAAATAAAAATATTAAAAATATAAAAGTATTATGACCGCCTTTTGTGAGTTTGAAAGCTTTCAAGTCATATGACTTAGTAAAAAATAAAAGAAAAAAGGGTTAAATAGGCTCCTAAACTTTAACTCAAAGATCAATTAACCTCCTAAACTTTACAAAAGTGCAATTAAACTCTTAAACATGTCAAATTGAATCAATGAAACCCAAAAACTGATCAATGAGCTAACATAAGCACTGTACAATGACTAATATATATATAATGTAGTAATGTACTGCCGTCACTGTACAGTGCTTAGCTTATATATATATATATATATATATATATATATATATATATATATATATATATATATACTTATTTATTTATTAATTATAATAATTATTCGGGGACAAGACGGGGCGGGACGGGTGGGAAGTGGTATCCCCATCCCCGTCCCCGTCCCCGGTGGGGAATTACATACACTCCCCGCCCCCGTCCTCATTCTCCGAAAATTTTTCAAATCCCCGTCCCCGTTGGGGCGGGAATCGGGGACCCCCGTCGGGGACGGGACACATTGTCATCCCTAAGTGAGATAATAGATGATGATGTGGATGTAGGGGGGCCCACCAAAATATGGGGGGAAATCCCTAACTATTGAGGATGCTCTTATTATTATTATTTTTTAAATATGATGTGATGTGATAATAACAAATCAGATTGCAATCATTTTTCCAAAAGGTTGAATCTCAACCCTAACGGTCCTCACACCCGACCTGACAGAGCATTTGGGAGGAATCAGATTGCAATCATGTACTATTGATAGGGTGGTGTGGATGGTCTTAGGCTATCCTTATCATTGCAATACTCTTTCACTTTTAAAAGTGGACCATACTTTCACATCAAATTTGCAATTCCTTTACTATTTTTTCTATACCCATGTAATACCATACTCTCTCACTTTAAAAAACAGTCTCACTTTCAATAAAATAAATAAATAAATAAATATAATAAGAAAAATAGAAAAAGTAAAAAACAAAAAAAAAAGTATAGAAAGCTTTCGTGGTCCTTTGCAAGCTTTATAAAAAAGAAAACTTGTAAGACATGTAAGTAATAAAAATAAATTAAAAAAAAAACTATTTTACACGAAAACATGTCACATCATTTTGCAATTGGTAAAATTTTTGGAACGAGGACAATCTTACTATCAAAATGAACATTTATTTGGTACATTGAAAAGGAAGTACAAGTCTAATCATAATTACACCCATGCAAAAAAAAAAAAAAAAAAAAATAATGTAAACCTAAGATACCAATAAACCAGTTAGAAATTAGGTAATGTAGATTAATATGGTGTTATATATCTTGATGAATTTATACTATGTTCCACGTACGTGTGATTGGGCAGAATGTTCTTTGATTGGATTCTACTGAAGCAACATGGAATGACTTGGAAGAATGATATGATTTAGTGAAGGGGACACTTTTAAGGATTTCAAATATCCTAGCTCAAATCTATCACTTAAGGCAAGGAATTGAAATCTAATAAAATGTATTTTTCTTGACTCAGTTAACATTCTAGGAGCGTAAACCTACTTAACTCAGTTCGTTACTTACTGTTTTAACTAACACCTAAACCGTTCGTAAGTAATTAAACTATTACCAATCAATTGACTCATTTTAATAAGCATGGTGTCTTTTTTTACTGAGGATAGTAGTTTTTACAAAAAAAAATGGTATACTTAATTGTATTTGTTACTATCAACACTGTAATATTATATATATATATTTATATTTATACACACACATACACACTGTAATAAACAACTCTGATCTGTATTAAATCTAAAGATGTAAATTATAAAGGGTGCCAGAAGAGAAAGTAGGGAAAGCCCATGTCATAAACAGTCAGCACTAAGAAGGTTTACTGAAAAATATAAACTAATAATGAACTTATAATATAATTTTATTGAAGTAGCTGAAGCACAAAGTAAAGTACAAATTAAACCTACTTTACAGACATTCTTTTCTTTCCCACACAAGTATCCCTCTTGCTTTCTTAGCTAGTAAGCTTAGAACCAACTTATCCCTTATATAAACTCTCTACATGAATTCAATTCATTTCAGCAAACTTAAAAAAAAAATATTACTACAAAAAAATATATATGGCTACATATCCATCTGATTCTGATGACTATACAGCCCCCAACACTAAGTTGTTTCGTCGCGAAAGGCCTCTTTATGAAGCTCTTGGTGGAGGAAAAGGTACACTATTTTAATGTTGTTTTTGATGGGCGTCAGTCGGGTTGACCGAGTTCAGTCTCAGCTCAAAACCAAAACGTGGCCCTGTGACTAACTAATGTATGATATGACAACTAGTTAAAAAACTCTGTGATTAAGCGTGCTTGACTTACTGCAATGATAGTAAGCATAGTGCAGCTTGAGATTCATAAGTTTTTCTAAAAAATTGAATTGTTAGCATTCTTTATCCTTTTTGGTATGAATTCTAACTAATGATTACCATAAATGTTTTGTTGTTTGGTCGTTACAGTTGCAGATATATTGTTATGGAGAGATAGGAGAGTTTCAGGTGCAATTTTAAGTGCAGTTGCAGGGGTTTGGTATCTTTTTGAGGTTGTTGAGTACAACTTTGTCACTCTCTTGTGTCACATCTTGATCACCACAATGCTGCTGCTCTTCATCTGGAGTACAGGGGCACATGTGTTGGGATGGTATGTAATTATTCAATATTATATACTCCAAATACTATAAACCTGGCCGTGGGATGTGTGGATAAAATTCATGCAATAAATTAAAACAAAAAAGATATATAGCAAAAGTGTATAGGAAAATGTACAAATAGGCAATTGAACTATTTGAGGATAACAATTAAGCCACCGAACTCAAATAAGCTCCAAACTGAACCATCGAATCTGGAAAAAAAATGCAATTAGGTTAACAACAGGTTTGAGTTTCCATGTGTATATTTTATTTTATATTTTATTATTTTTATTATCCTACTAAGCATTTGACCCTCTTTCATGTCCTGTTTTCCTGATTTTATTTCATGACGTGTCGGGTACTGTATTTAAAAATAATTTTTAAAATTTATTTTAATAAATTTAAATAAAATAATTATTTTAAAATAAAATAAAATAAAATAAAATAATAATTATTTTGAAATTAAAAAAAAAAAAATAACAACAACAACAACCTCCTTCGTCTCCGGAGATGAAGGGTCGGCCATGGAGACGATTATTTTATTTGAAATTATTATAATAATTTTGTTAAACAATTATTTTATTATTTTATTTTATTGAAAACAATTATTTTATTTGAAATTATTAAAATAAATTTAAGAAATTATTTTTAAATACAGTACCCGACACGCCAGAAAATAAAATCAAGAAAACATGGCATGAAAGATGGTCAAATGCTTAGTAGGATATTAAAAATAATAAAATATATACATAACAACCCAAACCTGTTGTTAACCTACTAAAAATGCTAATTGCACTTTTTTTTAGGTTCATAGATGAATTTGAAACTTATTCAAGTTCGGTGACTTAATTGCTATCTCCAAATAGTTCAATGACATATTTGTATCTTTTCTCCAAGTGTATATATGATTAAAATAAATGTAAATTAAAACCTTTTTTGTCCTGTGTGCTTTGCGGGATATTATTAATTATTCGGTCATTTATGTGAAGTTTTAATTATTTTGAAATTCTCAACTTTGTTTATTTTTGTGTTACATTGTGGAGGTCTCCCCCAAAGATCCCGGAAATGGTGTTCCAAGAATCAACATTCATTCATTTTGCCTCAATCTTGCACAAAAACCTCAACCACTTCTTGCCAATGTTTTTTGAGATTGCCTGTGGATATGATGCAAAGCTCTTCCTTGTGGTAAGTGAATGCTTCCATCTCTATCACACACACACATATATATACACACACATCACGTTCAAATGAAAACTATGCTTCCCAGGCGAACTTGCAGACAAACATGTTATGTCCGTCTGGAATGATTAATAGCTAAAAATAAAATAAAAATGAAAAAGATGCGGAGTCAATTTCATAAATATGAAATTGATCCACATATTTTCCCCTTATTTTTTTTTTAATCATCGATCATCTTAGATAAACGGATCTGATTAGTTCATAGGTTCTCACCGAAAACATAGTTCTCATTTGAACTTAATTTTATATACATATACATACATAAACCAAAATTAAAGTGCAATCTAACACAATATAAAAATAATTTGGATGGAAAAACATAATATATATAAATGAATGAGATTTTCTATAGTGCCGATAATATCAAGTACAATCATGTATATTAGTTTTGATTGTACCGGATATTATTAACTACAGTGCTAATAATACCTGATACAATCAAATACTCCATATATTATATATACATGATTGTACTCGATACTTAGGGTAGATATGATATACCGATCAATACTATAGAAAAATACGAATATTATACTAAGAACAACAACAACAACAAAATATTGCACTGATATTTCTTATTATTGTGATCTTTAGGCCATGCTTTCCCTGTGGATACTCTCATTGATTGGAAGCTGTATTAGCACATTGAATCTTCTGTTTTTGGGTAAGATTCACAAACTATATTAATCATCAGTTCTTGTCACCAAAAATCTTCTTCACATTTTTGAAATTTAAAATTATGCTCAATCCACACATATCTATTTTGAATATAATAATGAACATTTTTATTTAAAAGTTAATTAGACTAACATATATTGTATTGTGTGTATATATAAAGGCATATTGTGTGTGGAAACTCTGCCAATTTTCTATGAGAAGTACGAGGAAGAAGTGGAGGATTATGCTGGAAAAATGTACAGACAGATGAGGAAAATGTACAAGAGGATTGACAATGAATATTTACGCAAAATTCCAAGAGGACCAGTTAAGGAGAAAGAGACATAGAATGAAACAAATTAATTAATTTAATGTGTTGATTCAACCAGAAAATTACAATGTTTTCGTGTAACTGTACCGATTTTAAATTGTCAAAAAAAAAAAATGATGATGTAAAATTGCCAAAATAAAGGAAAAAAAATGTATATAATTCAGTAATAATTCAAGGATTGAGTATATAATAGTAATAATACGAATATAATTATATAATTAAAGGACTAACATCATTATTTTCTCACGAATTAATTTAATTAACTCAATTATATTAGTATTTGTATAAATGTTTTATGTACGTAAATGTATGAGTACTACAAAGTATTTAGTAATAATGAACCATAACACATCATTTTGTTAAAGTAAAAAGTTGATATTGATTAATACTTGACATTTCCATTGAATTATTATTTAACATAGACCGTAGAGGCACATATATATTTATAGGATGTTGTGGCAATATGGTATTTGATTACCTGTTGATTGGTCTGTCGAATAATCAGAACCGAAACCATATACACAAACATATATATGATTAGTCCTCAGTTTCAATTTTCTAATGCAAGCCAAACGTGTCCCTATAGGTTCCCACATTATTCTAAGATAAGTAACATATTTCCCTTAATAATGTGGTGGTTCAGAAAATTGCTCGCTAAATTTGGTAACGCGGGTTTGTGACCCGAGTGGGAGCACTAAGATGGTGGAACAATTAGACTTACCTGAAAGGTTGAGCTTGGCCGTTGCACGGCATAATTTGCCGATAAGTATTACCCGTTAATGTCAATTGTTATGCCATGGAACCATGACGGTTCCAATACGACGCCGTTTGGCAATTTTGGAGTAACGGTGCTGTTAGTGATATCGTTTTCCTCCCCCAATTAGATTTTAAAAAAAAATTATCAAAACAACTCAGTGAGATGTTGTGAATATAGAATTACAAAATTATTAGTTCAAAAATTAAGAATATAGAGTTCTATAATTATGAGCATAGAGTTCTATAATTATGAACAAATAATTTTGTAATTGTGAATATAGAGTTCAATAATTGTGGATATGGAATTCAAAAATTATGAACATAGAGTTCAATAATTATGATAATAGACTTCTAGAGTTCAAAAATTATGAACATAAAGTTCTGTAATTATGAATATAGAGTTCAATAATTGTGAATATAAAATTCAAAAATTATAAATATAGAGTTCTATAATTATGAACATCTATAATTATGAACATAGAGTTCAGTAATTATGAACACAAACTTCCTGAAAGACACACGCCGTTAATGGCAAAAGAAAGTAATTTTTTTTTTTTTTATAAACAACACGACGTCATTTTTCACCAAAACAACGCCGTTTTGGAATCGTGTCCACCTTGTAAAGTGGACATTGTTCCACAGCATAATTTGGCCGTTAATGTAGTGATTGTTTAAGAATGTGTGTTTTTTCCATACCACCAACGATGGAGAGCCGTGTTTGTACGGGGATAAGATCATATCCGGCAAGCTAAACACCCATAATGTGGTCGATCTTGACGGCCATTTTGATCCAAAACACCTGTCCCCCTAACAAAACAATAATTTCTTGATTATATTGGACATGGACATTCTGTTGGGTTTAGGTATTGAATGCCAAATAAAGGGGCTCCATACATGAACGCAGGCGGCCGGGTACTCTATTGCGAATTCACGGGAAAGGGATAAAATTACGTGAGTCTCTTCCAGTTTAATAAGACGTTTCGAGTTTGAGCCTGTGTATTGTGAATTTCTGAATGTGTAGATGAGATGATGTGAGTTTCTTTAGTTTAACTGGAAGTTTCAAGTTCAAGCGAGGAAAGTTTGGATGAGATGACATGAGTGCTACCTTTTGAGGTGTAGCTGGACATACACAAAATATAATCCTAGTTTTGAGGTTTTTAGGATCCAGTGTTTAGTAACAAAGGCGTAAATTTACTCTGATACCACTTGTTAGATCAAGCGCTAGCGCTTATTATTATTTCAAAAGTTATAACTAATAGCGAATATTCAATTTTATTTCATTATATAAACTGTTATTACATTTTTGAGAAATAAGATGCTGGACTTAGACTTTTACCGGTTTCTGCTCAACAAAAGTGTTACTTTTAGCCTTGGTGTGTAATCTTAATTGATTAGTCTATAAAATTTGTGAACAGAGAAAATAAAGAAAAATGCAAGTAGGTAGTGTGTTGCATTGTGTGGCTTGGCAACTTGCTCTTAAGCCAAGTAAACACGCACCGTAGGATCATCTGTCAAAACATTTAACAATTACATCTCACCACCTAGATTTGGACTCATTACAATTTTGAAACATTAAAAATGCATGTGGGGTTGTATGTTACATAGTAAGGCCTGGATCTATCTACATTGTATGTATCCATGCTTGCATCTCATAACTTTTTGCTATGATCGATGGTCGCATTATTTTACTTATTTTAAATTCTTTATATATATATATATATATATATATATATATATATATATATATATATATATAATTAAAAGGCTGTGGTTGTTTTGATTGATTCATAGAATGCTTGGCTAGTTTATAAAATAGTCAATAAATATAAAATGTTATATCATTTTGATTTAACTACGTATACTAAGAAGATAAGATTTTGGCCCTGTTTGATAAATAGCTGTTAGGTGATAGTTGTTAGTTATTAGCTGATTGAGTTAATTAGAGGGTATAACCAGTTGATAACATAAACTGGTTGTAGAAAGGTATTTGGTAAATTAGCTGTTAGTTAATAGTTATTTGATATAATTTCTTTTCTCAAAAAGCTAATTGAAAAAGTTAATTTGAGCAGCTTTTTTAATATTAGCATTTTGGAGTTATAAAAAGCTAATCAAGTAAACAATTAATAGTAGTCAAATAAATCAAAATTTGTTGATATGCTAACTATTTACCAAACAGAGCCTTTATGTAAAAAAAAAAAAATAAATAAATAAATAAATAAATAATTGACAAAGTAGCGTTTTCTTTTTTCGAATATTTGTATGTTATTTTTCTGAATTCATGGAATTAAGTAAAACAAGTCTTTTAAAAAAAAAAAAACTATATTGTTATTGTAAGATTATTAGAGTTATGGGAAATTTTTATGCTTATGTATATAGATTAAATAAGAACATTGTTGCAAGGGAGAACTAGGAACTATCTAGAGTCGTTGATTTGCGAATATTTTACAACTTTAAAGCAAAGATAGATAAAAAAAATGCGATATCATTTTTGTAAGTAACTTGAATGTATAATTAAGAACACTATATAGGTTTTCAAAAAAACAACACTATAAAGTGCAACTAACAATATCATAGACTACACCAGTCATATGTATAAATGAAATGAATAGATATACCTTGTAGCTTTGCTTAGTTGCACTTTATAGTGTTGAATATATAGTTACACTTTATAGTGTTACTAGTTAAACTTTAAAAATCCAAAACTACCAAATATTGAATTAATTCATTAATAAGCTATTAATGTATTAATTCAATATGGATAACTCCTTATCAATTTCTTGTAGAGTTCTCCATTACAACAAATCATTAAGGTGAGACTTTCTAGGTTTATAATTAAACTAGCAAAGAGTATATTTTTTTTGAAAGTAGCAAAGAGTATATTTAATAACTCATTATTAAATAATTCGTCACTCATGAGTGACACTTAGCAGTATGTCATGACTACCAAGTTGACAATGAAATATATGTATATATATCATAATGAACCTTTTCGTTACAAATATCATGCAACATTCCTTCCACACAACACTTGTTCCAAATCAGGTAAATGTCATGGTCAAACTTGGTCAAGCCCATAAACCTGGTCAATATGTCTATTCAATATTCTTAACCTCAAGTCCAACTCCATTATACTATGGCCAGAGATTCTCGTTGTAAGATTATTGAATAGACTAGAACAACCTTGTTACCTCAACGCAGTGGATTCTGTATTGAACGCACACATGTCTCCGTACAATACTGAACTAAACCACCAAGTACACTTATAGTCCCATAAGAAACAAAAGACGCATACGGGCAAAAACTAGTCCAACATATGTACGAGACAACCAACAACCATGTCGTCTCAAGTCAAAGGATTGCATTGCATACTTGTAACATACAACATACCGATGACACGTAGGTAAACAATATGCAGCGGTACGTTGTAAGCAGTCATTGTTCAAAATGACTTGTTTTCTAACAAGCATCCACATGAGACTCATCATAAAAAGGACAATTTGTTAGTCTTATTAGAATTCTAATGTCCAATTAAAATTCCTATGAACTAAGAACATTTTTATATCATTGGGCAATTATGTTTATTCGGTTTCAATTCCTTAAACTAACTAAATGTGAGAATGAATATAATGTTGATTGAGAGATATGGCAGAGACCTCCGGTAAGGTGGGTTAAAATGAACATTGATGCAGCCTTAGGTAGTGCACAAACCAAGTGTATTGGGGTAACCCGATGGAAAGAGATCCACACCTATAGTCACAAGGTCACGAGTTTGAATCTTTGTTCTTTTGATTTGAGCCGGTCAACTATGAGTAACCTAGGCTAGTCTACTTCCTTATGATTATTTGCTGACAAGAGTCACAAGGCAGAGTTTACTTACCAAACATGATTTTAGTATGTATTATATTGCAATTGCAGAATACCAAAAGCACTATTGTGAACTAATAATTCATCACATTACTCTTCAACATCCTGCAACTTCTCAGTAGTGTCAAAAACATCCCTGGCAGTTGAGATGTCAGGCCATCAGAAAAAGACAATAGAAAAAGAGGGTGAACCACATATTGCCTGATTTTCCTTGGGGTGAAACACATATACTGTACTTCTTACTTAGCAACTCAAAGGGAATAAAAGTATAATAAGTACTTCCCTTTTTGGTACATACAATTATACAAATACAAATGGGTGCTTAAATATTATTATTGTAAATCATAATACGGTAGACATCTCATGAATAAGTCATTTTCTAAATTTTTTGATGCTTGGGTACTCAAAGAAAATAAAGTCAATGAAAAATAATTATTCAAAGAGTAAATACCCAAAAAGGTCCTTTGATTATAGCTAAATTCACAAATTGGTCTTCAACTATTGATTTCAACCAATTAAGTCCTTAACTTTTCAATTTTAACCTAATTAAGTCATCCGTCTATTTGACCGTTTGTTGACCGTGATCTTTGAGGATATATATGTAATTTTATGTGCAAAGCTCAAAAGTCAATGCCTTTTAGCGACTCTATGTCGGTTGCGCATGCTTCGGCATTGAATTTGCCGGTGAGCACTTTCGTGACCACGACGCCGTCGCCAACTTCAAGCCCTTGTTGGAAACAACAACTACGAGGCCGTGTTCTTGAGCTCCCACTCCAAGGCCGAGATCGTCGACATGCTCCGCAAGCACACCTACACCGACGAGCTTGAGCAGAGCCGCCGCGCCTTCAACATTAACAATATGACCACTGCCCCGAAACCGGAGACAGATAGATCGGCGAAGTCTCAGGAGCGGTTCTTCGAGAAAGTCATGACTCCAAGCGACGTCGGCAAGCTGAACCGACTCATGATCCCCAAGCAGCAAGCGGAACTTCTCCCTCCAAAACGGCGCCAACAAACGGTCAAATAGATGGGGGACTTAATTGAGTTAAAATTGGAAAGTTAAGGACTTAATTGGTTGAAATCAATAGTCGAGGACCAATTTGTGAATTTAGCTATAGTCGAGGGACCTTTTTGGGTATTTACTCTTATTCAAATCAACGGAAAAATGCCTAATTTAACCAACTAGTATATAGTGTGATGTCACCTATATTTTCATTTCAAATGAGTTGTCACAAGATTAAACCCTGGTGGTGTAGCATTGATATTTTAGAATTATGAGTGTTTTAAAAAAACTAGTTAGAAGACATTTTTCAAACTATATTTTTCTCTCTCTCCCATCATTTTTCTTCAAGCTAGTTTTCAGATTATTATTACCATCACACCAACACCAACACCATCACCACATTCTGTGGAAATCATTTTTGGGAAAAATATTTTTCAAATTTTCAAATGGACCCTATATGTATCAAAAGTTCTGAAAATTAAGTTTCAAGTTCGACTCTTGGTGAGAGTGGTATATTGACTTTCTTAGTTTGAACCGATTTACTATAGGCAACTTAAGCTGATTTATACCATTATGGTCATTTGATGATTAGGGTCAAGATGAATTTACCCAATACGCAATCTCGAATAGTGGTTGTTGTGCAAATTCAATGAATTTAACAACTCAAAACTTGCCTTATAAAATGCATCCAAACTCGTAATTAAATGTGTGGAAAATGAAAGAAAATAGTGTTCTAAGTGAGTCCCTCCCTTTCTATGAGTCCGTATGAATAGATTTGGTCTATTAAAAGTTAGAGATCGATTTATATGTTTTCAATTGTGTAGTTGTATAATTACACATTGCATAGTTGCACTGTTAGAAAAATCTAGACTATTGATTTAATGGGTCATATCTGTCTACACCGATTAATGGAAGAGAGTATATATATATATATATATATATATATATATATATATATATATATATATATATATATTAGCTTGTTCTCTCATTACAAGAATCATAAAGACAATTAGCCTCTTTCCAACCAAAACCCATGGCCATTGATTTGATCTCCGAGAACAACAATCCCAGCAGCCTCCCAACAAGTCCAAGAATATCATTCTCATATGATCTTTGCCCCAAAGACACTTCCCCTTCCTCCATTGAACACCATTCACATTCTTCTCATCAACTCTCCATTTCTGCAGACTTCAATTTCTCCACAACCCCCAACCCCTCAACTTCCTCCGCAGATGAACTCTTCTCCGGCGGCCTAATCCGCCCCATTCCCCTCCAACAACTCCCTATCCCCTCCAAATCCCCACCGCCATCTTCTTCGTCTCTGCCGCCACTCCCCAAGACCCCACCAAAGTCTCTCTGCCATATCAGGCGGAGCAGTAGCCTCCACTGTGAAGCTACCCACAAGAAAAGCCCCTTCTGGTCGTCGTTTCCGTTGCTGCGGCGGAGCTTCTCCGTGGGTTCGGTTGGGAAAGGGAAGAAACAGATTAATGCAGAGACGAAGCAGCGGCTGCAGAGGAGCTCTTCCTCCTCTGCAACTTTCTATACGTTCCCATCATCGCCGCCGCGTAGGAACGGCGGCGATGGGGTTCGGATTAATCCGGTGATTAACATTCTGCCCAGGGATGCTGCTAATCTCTTCAGATTTGGGGCTTTGTTTCGAAATGGAAAAGAAAAGAACAAGAAATTATCACTGTGATGATGGTTCATTGTTTTACCTGCAAGGAGATAACAAAGAATCCATTTCGAATAGAGTCTCACATCTATATCATTTTGAGTATAATATGTTTAGTTGTAATGGTTCATAAATAGACCTTTTAAATAAAGTCTCACATCTATATCATTTCAACTACAATATCTTTGGTTGTAATGGTGTTTTTTTTTTTTAATATTTTTTAAGGTAGGTTGTGAGGGTTAATTGTTATAAATATAAGGAGATATTGAGAATTAATTTTTAGATTTTATTATTATTATAAGAGTTAATTCCATTAGAGGTCCCTTGTCTTTGGTGACAATTCCAAATTTAGTCCCAGCTATCGTTTTTGTCATTTTACATACTATTATTTTTTGGACACTTTTAATCCTTCTCATGATTTTTTCTATTTTTAGTAAGGGTATTTTTGTCTCTTCATATTTTTCTTTTGTTATTTTTTCAGTTTCAACCGGTTTAATTGGTTTAGAACTTTAAGTAACCTCTGATTTTTAGTAACCATATTTTTTAACCGATTTTTAGTAAAATCCTAAACCAATTAAACTGATCATATATAAGACAAGATACCTTTGATGGAATTAACTCTTATCATAATATGCATCAGCATTCCTTGACCACCCTCCCCATCTTTAATGACCCAATTCAATCAACACTAAAGATAATGTTACTTACTTTCAGCTGCAAAATAATAAAAAGCTCACAAGCAAGACAAATTTCGTTTAAAATGACATTTCATAACCCGAAACAGACTTTCTAATTAGGAAAGACCAGATATATAACACTACACTTTTTGCAGTAACTTCTTAACTAGAACCCTTTCAAACATTTATTTTTGAAAAAAACTGAGATTATATAAAATACTTATTGATCCTAGAATTAAGATCATCAAATTTAAACCATGTAATTTGTTGACTTATGTTCATCATTATCTTTACAGCCTATGATTGACTAAATGAAGATTATTTAGTACCAAAACATTTCTACATTCACATTATGCATCTATCGCTAAGCTTGGAGCATTTTTAGTTGCTTTTTGTGTGATTAGAGACTTTTCTTCAACTTGATTCTTCAATACCATTTTCACCTTGAATTGGTTCCTCCAATTAAACAGTATTAATATGGGCAGTAGATTTATGTGTAAAGTTTGGTGTGCTGGGCTTATCAGTATGATGTTTTGCTTTGCAGAATTAGGGTTTGTTTAGTGAATGGAAAATTAAAAACTTAGCCCATTTTTAATTATTTTTTCCAGAATATGGAAAAAAATTCATTTGAAGAATTCTCAAAATGAAGAAAGGAGACAACCCAAAAAACAAAATGTAATAACAAAGTGTTTTGGTTCCTTTCTATACCAAAGTTAGAAAACATTCTCCCATTTACATCTATTTCTGTTTTTTTTTTTTTTTTTTTTATTTCCCACTCTTTCAACATAAAACCATTATTTTTCCATTTTTCTTCTCCCATGCTTCACAAAATAGGTTAGAAATGGAATAACTATTTCAAAATAAGGTCAGATAAGGTTGGACGTTATGTCTTCATTTTTAAAGGTTTAGCCATATATTTGTAGAGCTGTCAAAACAGGCTGATCATCTTGTCTGTCTGGACATGTTTAACCTATTTTTAAAGCAAGTTGTGCTATACTATTCTCGGCCCTATGGGTTACACAATTTGGTCCATAGATCAACCTGAATAATCATCCGACACACCCCTAAATATTTGAATTTTAAATTTTAAAATCTTGTAGTTTAATACTTAAAATTTTTGTTTAAAAAAAAGAATTGTTAACCTTAAAAAATACATCGTATCTTTATTATTACCCATTAGTCTAATCTCCATCCTGAGTGATGCTCAAATATATTTATAATTATCTTATAATTATGATTAAATTAATTTATTATGAATGTTATATTATGATTAAATACATAATATAATATTGAAGGTAAACATATATATAAACTTCTTCATCATATATGGAGGAATTTTTTTAGTAAAGAGCAACCGGTAACTATACTTCTTTTTTTTTTTTGAAGGCGTAACTATAATTTTTATAGCACATTCAATTGTCTTTTACAAATACCTTAGTGACAATAATTGTTTGAAGTATTTATGTTAGCAAGTTTGAATAGTTCTTTACTGTGTGAATAAAAGATCCAAAATTTAGGAAATATACATTGTAAATTTGAGGGACCGCGGAAGGGATATTTATAGATCTTGTAATGCATGAATGAATCTATAGTAGTGATTTAATAAACATGTAATTATGACTTAATGTAATGATAGATTAATTTTAAAAATTGAAAAAAAAATCAAAATGGGTGTCATTTAAAAGATCTCAATTAGAACTTTTTTAATGCTATGTTTTTATATGTTAATTTTATTTGTATAAAAGAAAAAGAAAAAATTAGGGATATAATTATTAATTTATTAAAATTTTATATAAATAGTTTTTAAAATTTTCTCAACCAATTATAATGGCCCCTGATTGGAGATTTGGTGGAAGCCCCTAAATCTTAAATCTAAGTTATGAAATCCAGATAAATGATGAGCTTTTTTAAGTGCATGTCTGCTTGATTCTGGATTTCTTTGTAATGTGCAAGTTTACGGATATATGACCATTAAATGAACTAATGAAGCCATGAAGCCCTTAATGTTGGAATCTAGATACATGGTGAAATGTGTAAGTGCGTTGATTCTGAATTTTTTTAATGATTCTGTTTGATTATTAGTTTATGTGCCGAACACTAGTACAGATCTGCAAATCCGCTACCCTTGTACAGGGCTATTCGCTACCATTGTACAAGGGTAGCGGATTCGGGGGACGCGAAAACCCTATATGTTTCCGCGTCCCTTGTAGAACAGTAGTGGATTACTAGACTATCCACTGCCCTTCTTCCGAGGGTAGCGGATTTCTCTTCTTTTACTAATTATCTGGTACCCTTTCTTCCTAGAAAGGGTAGCGGATTATTTATTTTATTTTAAAATTAATTTATTATTTTTAAAATCCCCAATTTTTTTTTAAAAAAAATTCTGTACAAAATTATATTCACAAATTAGATATATATCAACACAATATTATAAAAACAATACTCCCCTTGATCAACATAATATTATCAATAATACACTTTCAATACTCTCATAATCCATCCAAATACTTTCAACACATACAATACTCTCACAATCCATCCAAATAGTTAACACATGCATTACTTAAAAAAAAATTAATTAACCTACTAGCAAAAAAAACAAGTTACATGCACTCTTCCAAGAAGTACTTTGCCCAATAGTCTCGAATCTCATCAATTTCATTGGTAGAGTACGGATTGCTTTCAAATACCTACAAAATAATTTAATTAATTAAATTATTAAATATATTAATTAATAAAATATAATTGATACAATTATTAGTTGGCCCCTGATTGGTGATTTGGTGGAAGCCCCTAAATCCTAAATCTAAGTTATGAAATCCAGATAAATGATGAGCTTTTTTAAGTGCATGTCTGCTTGATTCTGAATTCTTTTGTAATGTGCAAGTTTACGGATATATGACCCTTAAATAAACTAATGAAGCCATGAAGCCCTTAATTTTGGAATCTAGATACATGGTGAAATGTGTAAGTGCGCTGATTCTGAATTTTTTAATGATTCTGTCTGATTATTAGTCTATGTGCCTAATTCTGTTACTTTGTGTTACTGCTTGTCTGCCTGAGGCCCTGAGCCCCAATGGCTCAATGTGGCAATGTGCTATGTTGTTTCTGATTTGAGTGATTTCTGTTTACTAATACTTTCCTTTATAGATGGAAAGTGGATAGGTTTGGAAGTCAACCTCTTCTACCAAGTGTGTAACATGATGTGGAAGCACAAGCTTTACCGAATAGGATTGTGAAAAACTAGTATAAATGATAAGAATCGAAATCATTGAAAGTTTGTAAGGATGTATTCAATTTAGAATTTCAATGACGTTTGTAGACTTTTTCAAGTAAAAAAGTTAATAAAAGTTTATTAATGTTTTTTATATAGAATTTTATAGTTTTACAAAGTTTTAAAAAGTTTTAAATAACTTATTGTTAATAATAAAAATAAACATTATATATTAGGGCGTTGGGTGGGACTTATTATTATTATTATTATTATTATTATTATTATTATTATTATTATTATTATTATTATTATTATTAGCAATGAATTTGGTTTGCAAACTGCAGTATATTAGGGCGTTGGGTGGGTCGTTCATTAGTAATAATAATAATAATAATAATAATAATAATAATAATAATAATAATAATAATAATAATAATAATAATAATAATAATAATAATAATAAGAAGAAGAAGAAGAAGTGAAATGTCATTTTTACCCTCATATTTAACAGCCCTAACACTTACTTAACTGAGAGGGGGGAAAATAGCCACTTCAAAAACAATTGAGGGGGATAAAGTGGTTACATAAACAACACAGGGGAAAATGTGCTATTAGTAAACAACACAGAGGGAAAAATGTCATTTTCCTATCATTAAATTTAATGTTTATTAAAATAATATTTAATTAGAAGACTAAAATTGAAAAAGAATCAATAGTCAAAGGACCACTTATAATTAAATTGAAAGTCGATAAAAAAATTAATAAAGATCAATAGTCAATGGACTATTTATGATCCAATTAAAAATTAAAATGATAAAAAATTGATAAATGATAATAGTCAAGAAATTATTTTAGAATTAATCTCTTTTATTTACGGTCCACACAATAATGATTGGGACTTTTAGTGGTCGAACATTGGACTAACTTGTCCAACCAATTGACAGCCCATTTCATACCATAACGCATTCCCTACGACAGAAGCTAAGAACCTCGTCACATTTTCTTTGGGCTACTGGGTTCCACACTTCCACTCCCTATTTCCTAATCCCTGAAACCAAATTAAATTACTCTCTAACCCAAAAAAAAAAATTAATTACTAGCCCTTCTATTCCTTTCTTTCTTTTCTCTTTTTCTTTTCTTTTTCCAACCCTGATTTCCTTTTTCATTCCCACTCTTCTATCATAGAATCCATGTATAGACAGTGATATATAGTTCATCATTATTAATTTTATCTTCTCCAATTAAAAAGAAAAAAGTGTACATATACTTAATATCCCACCTTAAAATTACAATAAGAGTTACACTTGTGTGAAATCGTCTTACGAATTAAGATCCGTGAGACGGGTCGAATCTAATATAGTTGCTTGTTACTTATGATATAAATCATAATATTTATTATAGAAAATTTAATATCAATCTTAAATAAATAAATTGTTACTTAAATAGATATTGTGATATTTATATGTGTAATTGTGATACTATTTACGATAAAAAGATTGTTAGTAATAATAAATATTGTTGTACTTATAACTGAAATGTTGCTTATGACTTTATTACAATGCATTATCTTTCCATATATATTTTCTCAACCTATTGAGACACAAGAGTCAATGTCCCCACTGGGGTTCGAACATGTGACCTCTCATTTGAGAAAGCCATGATTATGCTTGGCCACAAGGCCTTTGGCAAATTTAATACCAATTTGAATTAAAAATAAATTGTTACTTATGATTGATATTGTAATACTTAGCTGATATGTGAAATTATGATACAATTTAGAATGATAAATATTGTAATACTTATAAAATTGTTATACTTACAAAGTGTATCTTCATTGAGCATCCCACACAGTTGTCTACAACCTGACCCGTCCCCCGAAAAAGAATTTGTGCTGTGATCAAGATGGTCTCATACAAATTTTTTGCATTACATTAATAGCCTATTTACCAATTGCTCTCAAATTATTTAGTTATAGACATATTCTTTGTTTGGAAAGTCATAGATAGTGACAAGATTTTCATGTTTATACAAGTCAAATTTTTATTAATTAGGAAACCCTAATTGTTGTAAATTAAATCATATATAGAAATTAGAATGTAGCCCCATTACTACCTTCCTTTCCAAGACTTTGATTTAGTTAAATATATATATATATAAATAAATATGTACAACCGGGAAAGAAGGCAATCTCAAAACCCTTAGGACACAATTCCAAGCAAGAATTCTTTCTCCCCCAAAGAAGAAAAATAATGAAGAATTATCAAAACCAACCATTCTCAATAACACCAAACCTTAACCTCCTCTTCACATCTAAAAAGTACCTAAATACCATTTTTGTTTATTTCCTCGTACTTTCTTCAGGTTTAGTCTTTGGATTTTCCTTTAGTTTTTACCTCAAACACAAAATTCCCACTAACTTATTGCCCCTCAAGTTTTACGCCGTCCAGCTACCTCCGGCGTCGGAACTCACCGGAACCCTCCCACCGCCCCCGTCTCCGTCGCCACCGCAAACCTCTGTCACCCTCCCGGAGAATGCGGCCGCCGCGGAGCACGAACGGGTTGAGGCGCCCACGGGCGCCATGCACGGGCTGAACGACGCGGAGCTGATTCGGAGGGCGTCGAAGGCGGGTGGTTTTCCGTCGTCCGGGAAAACGCCGGCGAAGATCGCCTTTATGTTCCTGGCTAGGGAAAGCTTGCCTTTGGCTCCATTCTGGGAGCTTTTCTTCAGAGGCCATGAAGGCCTTTATTCCATATACATTCATTCTCAGCCATCCTTCAATGGAGTTGCGCCTCATGAGGGCCCCATCTTCCATGGCAGAAGGATTCCAAGTAAGGTAAGTTACTTTTACACTATTTAATAATCATAGTTACTTATTAGGCGCCTGTCGCATTCATCCTCTAGGAAGACATGTGCTCTTATTTTCTCAAGTAGTATATGTTCTATAATTTCTCAATTTTTTTCAACCCAAAGAATGGTCTTTGTTGAGTATATAACCATTAATGATATGCAATCCAACTGCTATCAGCTTAGATTTTTAGTTGAAATGGAGCACATGCTTCAATTTGGTATCAGAGTCATGCTAAAGGCTTACGGAAGGGCATCATATTCGCACACGTGAGGAGCGTGAGATGGAGCACATACATGCTTCAATTGTCTTGATTACCGAGGTTTAATTCTGTGACCACTCATTTGGAATGGTAACAGGATGCTATCACACTACACTGTAGTTGGTCGGTCAACTATATACAATTTAGGTTGATTTACACAAAATGGAATTTACCTAACACACCTTTCAATAATAATTTTGAATTTTTTATCATTAGAAAAAAATAATTGCGACTTCTCTCGTGATTCAAAAGAATAAATTTTTTTCCTCCCAAACGCTGTTGGAGTGTGGGGGGCCCTTAGGGTTGGGGTTCAGCCTTTTGGAAAAAAAAGAATAAATTTTAGAATTATGTAGTATTTTCCAGGTCAAGAGTCAAGCTAGACAGAACTTGTTGGATCAGTCCGTAAAATTGGGTTTGGAAAATATATATATTTGTCAACTAAATTAGCTGTTAATGTATTATATTCAAGTATAAATATTGCAATCATAGGCGTATCTTTCTCCAAGTAACAAATAAAACAACCTCAGATGAATCTTAAACCAAAATAGGGTTTTTCTTTTCTCATCCTAGGACGGCGTTATCTTAACTTAAAATCAACGTTAGACACATAAAACCATTAAAACCACTTAATTTTGTGTAAACATTACGCTAATGTTTCCTAAATCATAGTGATTAGTAGTGTGTTAGTGAGTGTTTAATAATTAGGCTTTGTCAACTAGAGTATTCATTCAGCAGAATTTTGAAGTCAACTAATTTATATGAATTTTGATTAAATATTGTATGTCATGCTACATTCTCCTACATAATATTCACTACCTAACATGTTATTATATATACTAGATATCTTTTTTATATTTAATTTTTGTGTGAACTTTTATTAACTAATGGTATGATAAACCAATTCGCAAGTAAAGACCCATGTAAATAAAATGTTCTCTTTGTACATAACACCGGGTAGTGACTCTATCTGAATAACTTAAACTTATTTACACTGAAAGTAGGGAAATATTTTGTGAAATAGTAATGTAATTGATACGGCTATAAAGGTTTTGCATGCTTTGTGATCATGTTCTAAAAAGTACGTTGTCAAAGTAATTGAAACATTTTCCACCGTTGTTGCCTTCATAAACAAGATACTTTTGGAGCTTTTTGTTGTACTTTTCTTTCATTCTACTCCTTTTCATTTGTTGACATAAACTTTTATTCTTGTATTTGCTTCAACACTAAATTATAACAAATTCCTTTCTTCTTTAGTTTGATATATCTAGATCCCACATAGGCCCACTACTATATCCAGAGCAACTACAATAAATTGAGTTTTTAATTAGGTGGATGGACGAGAAGGAAAGAGTGAGAAAAAAAATAAATATATAAGAATTGTGGTTTTTATAAGTCGAGTAAAAAAAATGTTGGCACTAGAAATGCCCCCACGAGCACATTGATAACATTTTATTTTTTTTTAAAGAAAATTTTGTCTCTTTTTTTTTTTTTTTTTTTTTTTTTTCATTTTCCTCTCATCCTCTCTTCTTGTCGGACAAATTAAAGACCAAACAATTTTGAGCAATTATTGTGGTTGCTCTTAGAGGTATGCAATAATCAGTGTCAATCGATTTTGATGAAAATTGAAATATTTTAACATAGTCATAATCAATTCAATAATTGAAATATTTCATTTTCTAAAGCATTCTAACTAATAATTGACTGTTAAACACCTTGCGCTCAGATGACATGTCACTACTGGAAATTTTGAAATTTCCGACCACCTGAAAGTTATCTTAAATCAAGTCAAAAGTCTTGTTCCGATCACTTTTGGTATCCGGAAAAACTCTTGTTGCTATTTCTGACAACTTTTTGCTTTCAACTTGATTTAAGATCACTTTCAGGTGGTCGGAAATTCAATAATTTTCTGTAATAACTCAGACATGTAGTAACTCTTTCATATGGGAAGTTATGAGATTGAGTCTCAGTGAATGCGGTGTTGAGACGTAGTATTTATTTAATTTTTTTTAAATGCTACTGGCTCTATTACAATGTAGTATTTATTTATTTATTTGTATGTATATGCAGAACGTAGTATGGGGAACATTTAGCATGATCGAAGCGGAGCGGCGGCTGCTGGCCAACGCCCTGCTCGATATCTCCAACCACCGCTTCGTTCTCCTCTCGGAAGCCTGCATACCTCTCTTCAACTTCACCACCGTCTACGATTACCTCATCAACACCAACAAAACCTTCGTCGAGGCTTACGACCAGCCCGGCGCCGTCGCCCGCGGCCGTTACAACCGCCGGATGCGCCCGTGGGTCACCATCCAGCAGTGGCGGAAGGGGTCGCAGTGGTTCGCCATGGACCGGGAGCTCGCCGTCGAGGTCATCTCCGACGAGAGATACTGCGCTCTGTTCAAGCGGTTTTGCCGGCCGTCGTGTTACTCCGACGAGCACTACATTCCGACGTTTGTGACCATGGTGTCGCCGGGCAGGAACTGGAACCGGACGTTGACCTGGGTTGACTGGTCAAAGCAGGGCCCCCACCCTGCGAAGTTTGGGAGGTACGAGATCACCGTTGATTTCTTGGAGAGGTTGAGGAACGGTAGCCGATGTGTGTATAATGGTAGGGTGAGTAGGGTTTGTCATTTGTTTGCTAGGAAGTTTTCTCCCCTTGCTTTGGATAGGCTAATGAGGTTTGGTCCCAAAATCATGATGTTCAATTCTAAGAAATGACACTGTATTCAAAGTGGACAGATTTCTTATGCAATGATAGTTGATCATGTCTGCTAAGTCACTAAGTTGCTGTGATTTATAACTTCCCAAATATTGAGTCTGAAATTAGGAATTCAACATTTGCCAAAGAAGAAATGAAATTGTATTTATACACAAATTACATTTCTATTTATTTATTTATTCATCTTTTTGTTTATTTATTTCCCCACATTATTGTGCCCCCACACCCCCTCCTTGGTAGTTGGTAGTTGGAGAAATATTCTTTTTCTTTTGCTATTTGAGATTGAGTTTTTTAATAAAAAAAAAATGGATTGAGTTTTTATTTGGTCTAAATCTTAATATATGAATGTCACAACTCTTTATTTATGGATTTTGTTTATAATTATATTTATGAGAATTTTTATAGTATCCTAAAAAGTTTATTGTTTATGCGATAAAGCTACACGGATAAAAAATTTTACCGAAATCTTTGAATAAGAATTATATATTGTATGTCACATAGAGTAGTGTGAAAGATTTGGGTGAAAAATTTTAATTCGATCCATTGTAATTAATCATTATGCCTTGAACCATGGTCCACATTACAAAGTAGATCATTGATATGTATGTTCATTGTTAGTATATTGCATATTTATTCTTTTGTATATATTGTACCGTATATTCATTTTTAATAAGTTTATTATATTTGAGTTAATTTCAGAAATGATCCTTCGACTATTGACTTTTATCAATTTTTGTCATTAACTTTTAATTTGACCAAAGTTGATCCCTTAACTATTAATTTTGTTCCAATTTTAATCTTTCTGTTCAATCTTTGTTAAATAGGTGTTAAAATTAAACACAAAAATGTAAAATCAAACATGCCAGGAAAAGAGGCAAATTATGCCCTGGACCCGTATCCACATTGAATTGTGGACACGGGCCCAAAACGACGTCGTTTTTAAAAAAAAAACGCGTCATTTAGTTTAAAAAAAAAAAATTTCGCGCGCGTTTTGCCGTTAACGGCGTTATTTTTTTTTGGATTATGAATGTACAGTTATGCCGTTATGAATGTACAGTTATGCCGTTATGAATATACAGTTATGCAATTATGAAATTATGAGCACAGAGCTCTAACATTATGAACTTACAATTATGAACATATATAGTGATAAAATTATGACCATGGAGCTTTAAAATTGTGAATATAGAGCTTCGAAGATTATGAATGTACAGTTATGGAGTTATGAATGTACAGTTATAGAGTTATGAATGTACAGTTATAGAGTTATGAATCTACAGTTATGGAGTTATGAATCTACAGTTATGAGATTATGAATCTACAGTATGGAATTATGAATGTACAGTTATTGATCAAATTATGAACAAAGAGCTCTAACATTATGAACTTACAATTATGAACATATAGTGATAAAATTATGAACATAGAGCTCTAAAATTGTGAACATAGAGCTTCGAAAATTATGAATGTACAATTATGGAGTTATGAATGTACAGTTATGGAGTTATGAATGTACAGTTATGGAGTTATGAATGTACAGTTATAGAGTTATGAACGTACAGTTATGGAGTTATGAATGTATAGTTATTAACATATAGTAATAAAATTATGAACATATACTCTTACAATGAAGCGGTCTGATTTAAAAAAAAAAAAAAAAAAAAAAAAAAAAAAAAAAAAAAAAAAGAAGGAGATAACAGTGCCTAACGGCACTGTTACCCGTGTCCAGCAAGCATGCTGGACACGGGTCCAACGCATAACGATTGGGAAAAGACACATGGGCCAGGTTAAGAAGTAATCCTAACGTGAATAGGAATTAGGAAAATACACAACTTGTTTATTGGACTAGAAGTCTAGAATTAAGCAAACACTTTGGCAAATTATTATGGAGTTCTACTACATAGACTCCTAAAATTTTACTTTTTCATTTATACTTTATGAGGTAGCAAATCAGGATTAGTTATTTTCATTATGTGTGTCCATAAAAAAATGTCTACATCAAGAGCATGTGAGAGGGAGTACAAGTTGAGAATTTAAAAGGGGAGTACACCAAGTATTTTCTATTATTATGTTAACAAAAAATACATTTTTAATATACTAAATGTACATTATTTGTATATTGAATGTACATTATACAAAATAATGTACTTTCAATACTCAAATAATGTACTGTCGTAGACTACGTTCTAGTCATCGCCAACCATATCGCTAACTGTTCGAGCGATCCGCCTCAATGGTCCGTCTAAGCAATCCATCCGAATTGTAAAATATGTCAATTATTATTTTTTCTTTAGTGACAAGTGAAACCATGTACAATCGGTGCATAAAAATGTGTATTGAGTAAACTCCATTTATGACTTTAGCTAGTAAAAATCTACAAACAAATAAATCAACCAAAAAAGTTAATAAATTGTTCACTGGAAATCAAACTTAAAATCTTGTGTTTATCAAAATAATCAAACAGAAGCAATATTATTATTAAACTGAAGCAAAGTATTTATATAGGAGGAAATATCTGCTACTTGAGAGAATTGGCAGCCTTACGACCACAAGAATAAGTCAACACCCTTATTTATTCCTTAATAGAGAAGGAAATATCAAATAGGAAAATACTTGGTGTACTCCCATTTTAAACTCCCAACTTGTACTCCCTCTCACATGCTTTTGATGTAGACATTTTTCTGTGGACCCACATGATGAAAATAACCAATCCTGATTTGCCACCTCAAGGAGTATAAATGAGGGAGTAGAATTTTGAGAGTCTATGTAGTAGAACTCTATCAAATATAGACTTGTACGTGAGGCTAGCTCAATTGGTAGGCCACTTGATCTAAAAATATTACTGCAATCACAGGATAGTCTTGCAGGATTAATTTAAGAGCACTTGAAAGTCAGCACTCCATCCGCCCCCACCATCTTAGAGCTAGGAGTCAACAACAAGGACCGATTGTGAGGTCGTTTAGACACTCTTGGAGTGTTTGGTTAGATGTAATTGGAATTCATTTCCTACCTTATCCAACGGCAATGCAAATTACAATGTTTGGTTGGAGGGAATTGCAATTCTACGGAATTGTAATTTCTACCTTTTGTTGAATTGCAATTCATGAGGTACTTAAAAGGGAAATAAATATGACCCAAGAAGCCCAACTACCAAGCCCAACCATAGGGGTGGACAACCACTACTAACTTGCGTCTAGCAGACCGCTGGGACAAAAGATGTACCACGCCATTGATTGAAGGAGAGGTCAAGAGAGAAGAAGAGTTGATGATGATACCTTGGAACAAATACCCCCCCCCCCCCCCCACCCCTCTCTTTTATACTACTCATAGGGCTGCCATACGTGTATCCCACTAGGTGTACTGTCGCGCTCTCCCGTTAAATATCTCCCCACATGCCACGTCATAGACCACGTTCTAGCCATCGCCAATCACATCACTAATTGCCCGAGCGATCCGCCCCAATGGTCTGCCTGAGCAGCCCATCATAATTGTAAAATACAGTCAATTATTATTTTTCTTTCGTGACAAGTGAAATAACAATCACTACATAAGTATGCACTAAGTAAATTCTACTTGTGATTTTAGCTAGTAAAAGACTACAAAGAAATAAATCAATCAAGAAGACCAATAAATTATTCACTGAATCTTGTGATTATCAAAATAATCAATTGGAAACAATATTATTATTAAACTGAAGCAAAGTATGTATTTATACATGAGGAAATGATAACTGGTACTTGAGAGAATTGGCAGCCTCACGACCAAAAGCATAGCAAATATTTAAATAAATTTAAATTCCACGAGAGTAAGTCAACACCCTTATTTATCCCTTAATAGAGAAGGAAATATAGAACCGTGAGGTTAATTTAAACGGTAGACCACTTATCTAAAATCACTACGTACTCCACAGTTATAGAGTAGAGTCTGGCAAATTAATTTAAATGAGTAAATACCAGCGGAAATTCTCTGACTTTGGTGGCACTGCCGCTTTTAGTCCTCAACTTTTAAATCAACCACTCTTAGTCCTCTTACTTTTTGTTTCTAGCCATCTATGGTCCTTCCGTTAAACTTGACCATCTAATGCCGTTTTCTCAAGGATAATTCAGTCCTTTCATAATTAATTTCTTAATTATTATGTTTGTCGAGTCATACCGAGATATCCCGACGTCGTTTTGGCACAACCTTCGTACCAGATTTTGTACGCCATTTTGATTCACGAGCTGGTTTTGTACACGTTCATAGCTGGGAAACCATTGTTTGACTATTCTGATGAGGAAATTAAACATAATAATTAATAAATTAATTATGAAAGGACTGAATTATCTTTTAGAAAATGGCATTAGATGGTCAAGTCTGACGAAAGGACCATAGATGGCTAGAAACAAAAAGTAAGAGGACTAAAAGTGGTTGATTTAAAAGTTGAGGGCTAAAAGTGGCAGTGCCACCAAAGTCGGAGGACCTCCGCCGGTATTTACTCTAATTTAAATGGTAAATCACTTGACTTAAAAGTCACTACTTTAAGGGTCATTTGGTTTACGGAATGTTAGATTACCTTATGGAATGTTAGATTGTTGGAAATGTTGAATTTTTTGGAATGTTAGATTCTTGTATTTGGTTAAAACTGAGATATGTAATATAAAGCTGTTTGGTTGAAGGGTTGTTCTTTATGTTATAATGGCTATTTTACTTTAATACTCACAACATTTCTTCATGTATTTCAATATATGAAGTTAAAAAAATTTGTATTAACTTTCACTGCAAAAGAACCAATTCTTATATTAACTTTCATTACAATACTGAGTATGTGTGGTGCACTTCAATTTTGTATTAAACTTCACTGCAGAAGAACCAATACTTACAGTAGGCAAAATGGGAATTAATAAGAATGTGAAAATAATGGCTCATTAAAGGATGAGAAGGAGAAAATTAACATTAAAAAGGATTATAGAATCAGTAAACCATTACCTAAGAAAAGAGTGAATGGGTAGAGTACAATTTGTAAAAAGCAAGAGAATTTTACATTACTTAAGAAAATCACGAGTATCACATTCCCTTCAAAATAAGGAAAAAATTGATGTGGGGGTGAAATTTTGTTTCATAGAAAGTCGGATAACCTCAATCGAATAGGAATGTCATTTAACCAGCTAAAGATAACTCTTGTTATCTTAAATAACTTGAACCAAACGCCCCCTAAGTACAACCTAACCTAAAGTCATCATTTTAATAATAACATGAGATCTCCTAAAGTTAGCTCAAATAGAAGAGTACCCAAAAGTCAGCACTCCATCCACCCCCACCAACATCTTGGAGTTAGAAATTAACAACAAGAATCGATGGAGAAGTTTAAACACTCACATCAAATTACCTTCTCCAACAGCTCTTTCAAAACCTAATGTATCTAAAAAACAAAAAAAAAAAAAAAACAAAAACAAAAAAAAAAAATCATGATACTTTTTTTTTTTAAAACAAATCATGATACTTTTGAGTAGACTAATTGATCATGATACTAGCAAGGAACCAGTTGAATAGCTGCGCAATAAAACCGGTAACGATGAAAGTGAGCTCCTCTTCTTGTGGCCATCTTTGCAGTGCCGGAGAAACTCCGACTGATTCTTTTGCCGCCGGTCCAATCCAACGGCGCCGGATAGTGGAATAAGTTCCGATGAAGCGAGACCCTTATCTTGAATTCGGCCGTCCGATGAACAGTGTTGTTTAGCAGTGTCATTGCCGATGCAGAAATCAAAGCCCACAGTTTCTGAGATCAAATCAAAATCCGAACTGCAGGAGAAGTAATCAAGGGAAGAAACAGAGTAAATGTTGAGAGAATCTGAGCTTCTTCTGCTTGAAAAGACGGAATTTTCAGAAACCAAATCGATGTCAGAACCGAAACCAAGCAACAAAGAATCAGACTGGTAATCTTCAAGGGAAGGAACTGAAACTGATCTATCCTCATGGCAAAGATCATGAGAAAATGAAATTCCTGGACTCGTCGGGAAGCTGGGGTTTTCTGAGATCAAATCGATATCGGAGCCGAAACCGAGCAACAGAGAATCAGATTGGTAATCTTCAAGGGAAGGAACTGATTTATTATCCTCATGGCCAAGATGATGAGAAAATGAAATCCTTGGAGTCGTTGGGAAGCTGGGATTTTCTGAGATCAAATCGATATCGGAGCCAAAACCGAGCAACAGAGAATCAGATTGGTAATCTTCATGGCCAAGATGATGAGAAAATGAAATCCTTGGAGTCGTCGGGAAACTGGGATTTTCTGAGATCAAATCGATATCGGAGCCAAAATCGAGAAACAGAGAATTAGATTGGTAATCTTCAAGGGAAAAAACTGATGTATGATCCTCATGGCAAAGATCATGAGAAAATGAAATTCTTGGACTTGTCAGCAAACTGGAAATCTCTGAAGTCCTGTCAAAATCAGAAGTGGAACCTGGTAATGAAGAATCCCATCGAAATGGGTAATCTTCAAGGGAAGAAACAGAAACAGAAGTAGAAACAGAAACAGGTTTATGGCAAAGATGATGAGAAAGTGAGATTCTTGGAGTATTTGGTAAGCTGGGAGTTTCTAAGATCACATTGGTGGCCATAGGGATTTTCAGAGATCAAATTAATAATAGGTAGTGAATGTTGATATGAAAGGTGGCGTATTATATGGGATTCATGAAATGTGAGAACAAGATTCAAAACTTCATGTATAATGTCAAACTACGGGGGATTGAGGACTACCAGTGTAAACAAAGGGCAAAAGGTCATAGTTTTTGCCTTTTTGGCCGGACAACTTTCGTCGGTGACAAGTTTAAATGCATAATGGGTCAAACTATCTGTTAGGTTGTTAGGTCCCTAAGTCCGCAAATTATGCCGTGTATGGTGCACACGGTTGTAAAAACGACGTCGTTATGATTAAAAACGCGTGTTCGATTTTAAAAGAAAAAAATCAGTTTCGATTGCCGTTAACGCCGGGTGACATATAATAATTTGATTATTATTATTATTATTATTATTATTATTATTATTTAATATGGTAAAAATTAAAAGTTTGGTTTAAACTCTTACCTTTTGGATAATAGCAATAGTTCTCTGCCACTAAACTACTCATTAATCTTGATATAAATATGTAAGAAATATTTTCCATGTGCTTGACTTATCTGTGTCATTACTGTCTGTTCAAAGATTTACAAAGGAAAATAACGTATTCTTTGAATTTCACCCGAATTTTTTGTTGTGAAGGACTGCCTCACCAAAGGAGTGCTTCTTAAGGGGTTCAGTTCAGGTGATCTGTACAAGCTATCGATTCCCCGGTCACATTTAGCGTTCATTTCCGCCCGTACCTCGCCCGTGGTGTAGCATAGCATATTGGGTCACCCACATGCTCGTGTCTTACAAAACTGCCCGGTCACCGCCCACAAATCTGGTTTGGCGGGGTTATGTTCGGCCTGTCATCTTGGCAAATCCTCCTGTTTCCCCTTAGATAGAGTTAATTATTCAAGTAATAATGTTTTGGATATTTTGTACACGGGCATTTGGGGTCCTGCCCCGGTTATTTCTGCAAACGGTTTTAGGTACTTTGTTTTATTCGTGGATGATTATTCACGTTATTGCTGGTTTTATCCCTTACGTTTAAAGTCAGACATTTACAAAGTGTTTGATTTATTTCATGCTATGGTAGAACGTTTGTTTTCACGTTCTATCAAATCTATACAGTCTGATTTAGGGGGTGAATACCGCCGTTTGCATAAAATATTTGAGTCACTCGGTATTGTGCACAGGCAATCATGTGCCTATACACACGAGAAAAACGGGTGGGTAGAACGCCAGAATCGACATGTTGTTGAAACCGGCTTAGCTTTACTACCTAAAGGCTCAGTACCCTTAAAATATTGGAACTCTGCCTTTGAAACAGCCACCTATCTTATAAATCACCTACCCCTCCACTTTGCTACAATTTGAGAGTCCATATTACCGTCTATATAAATCACCCCCAACACACACTTTCCTTCGAGTATTCGAGTGCCTTTGTTATCCGTATCTACGGCCCTACAATCGACACAAGATAGAGTTCCGTTCAGCTCCATGTGTCTTCTTAGTCTACCCCACGTCTTTTAGAGGTTATCGATGCATGGATCTAAATACGGGAAAAACCTTTATTTGTCGCCATGTTCGATTTGACGAATCTGTATTCCCTTTTTCTTCAAGTTCGCCTTTGCAGGTTAAGCCACCTGAACCCACTGTGCCTTGGGGTTCGAGGCCCATAGTCCTAGTCACTGAACTCTCACCTGGCCCAGCTGTTGCTCCACAGGCTGTCCAAAATGGCGTTGTTGTGGCTACCATGACTCGGAGGCGTGCAACTCGAGCTCAACCTGCAGAGCGGGCTCACGTCATGCGGCTTCGATACATAACTCATGGCACAGGAGAGCAGTTTCATGCTTTAACTGCAACCGATGTCCATGCTGATCGAACTTGTTACTTCTCAAGCGGTATGGCATCCACAATAGCGTGACGCCATGTACCAGGAGTTCAATGCCCTCCTACAGAATGACACGTGGCAGCTCGTGCCGGCGAAGCCAAGCATGAACATAGTTGGGTGCAAGTGGGTCTTCCGCACGAAACGTAAGGCAGACGTGTCCATAGAGCGCTATAAAGTGCGCCTAGTGGCCAAGGGTTTCAACCAGGTAGGGGGTGAAGATTTCTTCGATACGTTCAGTCCCGTAGTCAAACCAACTACGGTTCGCATGTTGTTTTCCTTTGCAGTTTCACAGGCCTGGACTTTATGTTAACTCGATGTCCACAACGTCTTTCTTAATGGGCGTTTGGCTGAAACCGTCTTCATGCGGCAGCCACCAGGATATGAAGATCCAGGTCAACCAGATCACGTGTGTCACCTCCAGTGTTCTCTGTATGGGTTGAAACAGGCACCACGGGCCTAGTTCAAACAAATTCATGATTTTTTGCTTTCTACCGGTTTTGCTGCGTCTAAGACTGACGTCTCCTTGTTCCACTATTCCGCTGGCGCCTCGCGGGTATTCCTCCTGGTCTACGTAGATGACATCATCATGATGGGCAACGACCTGGCTTTAATTGACACGCTCCTCCTGCGGCTCTCGTCGATTTTCAAGATACGAGACCTTTGCACGCCTAGTTTTTTCCTCGAGATTGAAACTCTGTTCGTAGATGGGGGCTTGGTATTGTCACAACGCCGCTACATGGGAGATCTTTTAAAACGCGCCGGCATGACTAAATGCAAGCCATTGGCGACTCCGACCTCAGTCACTCAACCTGTGTCCTTGTCCACGAGCTGTTTGATAATCCCACGCAGTATCGCTGCTTGGCTGGTGCGTTGCAGTACTTAACTATCACGCGACCAGATCTGTCCTACGCGGTCACCCGTTTGTGCCAGTTTATGCATTCTCCTACTCAGGAGCACTGTGGGCTACTTAAACGTGTTCTCCGCTATGTAAAAGGTACGGTAACGTATGGTCTGCGCCTATCACCCTCTTCTTCATGTGACATACATGCCTATTCAAACTCGGACTAGGTCGGGTGTCCGGTGGACAGGAAATCCATTAGCGGGTACGCAGTGTTTATTGGTTCGAACTTGGTTTCTTGGGTATCCCACAAGCAACGCACGGTTGCTCGTTCTTCATGAAGCCGAGTATAAGGGACTAGCTGATGTTTTTGCTGAAGTAACATGGATTGTGTCGCTACTACGCAAGCTCGGCCTTCATTCTGGGTGTCCTGCAACACTTTGGTGTGACAACCTTGGTGTCACCTACATGTGCGCCAACCATGTCTTTCATACTAGAACTAAACATGTGGGAATTGACTACCACTTTGTCCGGGACAAGGTAGCATCCGGTGATCCCAAAGTCATTTTTGTATCTACGAATGATCAGTTGCCTGACGTTTTCACGAAGCCATTACCAGCAGCCCGCTACGCAACTCTTCGAAGCAAGCTCAATGTTATCCCCCTCCAACCTTGTGCTTGAGGAGGGGTGTGAGATATATTAGAATATAGAATATAATAAATTAGAAATTGTTGTAGTCAAACGTGACTTTAGCTGAGTTACTTATTGTATAAGAATAGTTAAACACAATAGAATAGTTAAGCTAATTGTGTTTGGTATTTGTATCTCTGTATTATCGTGTTACAGTTTGAATTGGAACTTCAACCTTCATCTTGACAATTTGCATCGGCTGACCTCTTTTCGTAATTTAATATAATACTCGCAGTTGGACTTATCATTCATTCTAGTAAATGACTTAATAACTCCCTTTTTCTTCTTCTTTTAATCTTTTTTTTTCCTTTTAATCATTTCTCTTTGCATTCTGACTAATCCATCCCAAACTTTTAAGTTTTAAGTTATATTTTTCATATAAAAGAGGTAATATTTTCTTCTTTCAAAATTTAAAAAAATACGGAGTATTATTTACCCGTCCTAGCATCTATTAGTTCTGCAATGTTATCTATAGAATTTAAATCATTAACAAAAGATTTACACAATAATCAAATAAAAGAGTAATAACATAATAATATGACTAGGAGCAAAGATTTTAGAACGAAAACATAACAAGGCACTCCAAAAATAGTATCTGCGATTCAAGTAGTATATATTGAAACAAAATGATTAATTACAAACTTGAATTTGTGTACTTACAAGCAATAATGTCGAGAAGAACGTCAATCTATACAAGTTATTTGACTGGTAAGCTTGTAAGGGACAAAGAAACATCATATGAGACCACAATAAGGACATTCAAACAAGCCATAGAAATCCTCTTCCAAAATGCAGGACACATCCCAAGTATTCACGCTACATAGAACACCAACCAGTCCCGACCCGTATTTTCTCAAATTAATGATCATTTTATGAGATTTGCATATCACCGAAGATCAATAACATCAAACTTCAATGTAGAGCTCATATAAACATCTGTACAGTGTTTATAAATTGGGCTACCATCCGCAGGGGGATCATGGGCATGAAACCCGCGTCTTGGGCATTGTCTGATTACTGTCATACCACCAGGATTTGTCAACCGGAAAATTCCATGGTTTCTATATGCAGATGAAACAAGACTCCGAGGTTAGTTAAATGAGTAAAATATGTAGTAACAATAAGAATGATACAAATGGTAGTAATAGTAATAAATTAATAATAAGCCAAGCTAGAGGAGACTAGAGTTACCTCGAGCAATCTTTTGGTGCCATGACAATAGCAATAGCTTCTGGTAACATTACCTGCAAAATAAATATGCATTCAGGAATGTCATGATATATTATGGCATTATCACTGCAATAGACACAGCACATCAGTAGGGGTATTAGCGAACAGAGCTTTCGGCAAACTACTCGTGTTCGTGTTCGGTAAGCGTTCGTTTATTAAGATAAACGAACATTAACAAACAAAATTTAAAGCTCGGTTGAGTCTGAACAGTTGTAAGCTCGTTTGCTAAGAGATCGTGAACAAGCTCGTTTAGTGTTCGCGAACAAGTTCGTTTAGTGTTCGTTTAATAATGTTCGCGAACATGTTCACACACACACACACATATATATATATATATATATATATATATATATATATATATATATGTATGTATATATATAAATTATACATGGGTAATAAGGTAATTTAATGGTCTCATACTCTTATTAGGTTTCCCATCTTCAGCAGTCATTCACTCATACTTCATTAATTTGTATTATGTTATCCTATAAGATGACACACATTTAATATGTAATATAATAATATATATCATTTAATGTAGTTTACTGAAGATGTAAAGACGATATCACTGGAATGAACTTGGAGTTAAGGTATTAAAATTTTGGGATGATGGATGCAAAATTTAAATATCGCATGCTTTATGTTTTAATGTTTTGGCTTGTAATGTGAACAGACAAATTATGTGTCTAAGACTTGGATTTTTATTTTGATATTAGATGTTACGAGTGGACTTATCCAGTTATTACACTTATTTATATTAATTTTGTAGTTATGTTGTTTGTTTGATTATTGTTCGTGAACGTTGATTATTTATTGTTCACGAACAAATTGTGATCATGAACATATGCAGGTGTTTGTTTATTAAGTGTTCACGGACATAAATAAACATGTTCGTGAACGTCCTTGTTAATGAACATGTTCGCGAACGTGTTTGTTAACACTAACGAACACGTTCACGAACGTTAACATTTAACAAACATGTTCGCGAACGTTAACAAACACTAATGAACGCTTAACAAACGAACACGAACAGAATTTTCAAAAACCTTAACAAACGAACACGAACATGAACACTCCAAATTTCTTAACAAACGAACACGAACAACTTCCATTCGTTTATGTCAGTTCGTTAACAGCCCTAAGCACATGCAAATAGAATATTCGGAGGCAAAATATAACTGGTGGAATAAGGTTTTGAGAAATTCCTAAGGAGAACTCTGTCAAATCACATTTATTTTAAGGAGATTAATCCACAGAGAAGTCTCCAAGAAATGACTGACAGTTCAATTGATGGTATTTCCACTCTTCTTTTGTTTTGTTTACCTTATTTTGTATTTTAATATTTTCCTTACCCACCACAGTTAGGCACTTTGTTTGTTTTAAGAAAGTGAGGGAGAAAGGGAAGCACAAACCTGATACGAGTACTGG